AGGTCCCATCTCTGACTTTGAACATGGGTAAAAGCTAACACCAAGAAAATCAAATTTCAAAAAGATATTCAATCACAAAGATAAAGAAATGCCCATCAGCCCCTCTGGCTGGCATCAGTGGAGCATTCAGACCTATGGTTGCCTGCATAGGATCTTGCACATGAGCAGACACATAAATTGCTAGTCTTCCACAGGGATATAATACCTAGGGATTGCCACTATCTATTTCATTTTAAGAACTACCCGTTTTTTTTAAAGATTTTTTTTTTGCATGTTTTTATTTATTTATTTATTATATTTTTTGTTTGTTTTTTGTTTATACATGCACTGGGTACAGTCAGAAGCTCGGGAGGGTGAGAGAATTCACCAGAGCCAGAGTGGGGAGCAGAGCAGGCAGAAGGACTGAAGTACACTGCTGAGGGGAGCAGCGGGTGGCAGGAGAGGTCTGCGCACCATGTGGGATCCTCCTCCAGTGGCCGGGGAGCAGCTGGGTATCGAACCAGCGCTGCAGAGGCCGCGGGCAGCTTCGCAACCCAGCGCTCAACCGCTGCGCCACTGGGGAGGCCCATAAAGATTTATTTTTTTTTATGTATACAAGAACTGGGGTACAGACTAGAGGTGTGTGTGTGGCAGGGTGGGGAGGGTGAGAGAATTCACTAGAGATAGAGTGAGGAACAGAACAGGCAGACTGACTAAAATACACTGCTGAGGGGAGCAGCAGGCAAGTCAGGAGAGGTCTGCTGTGCCATGTGGGTAGCTCCCTGGCCAGGGATCGAACTCATGCTACAGTGGCTGCAGATAGCTTCATAGTGCAGTGCTTAACCCCTTGCACCACCAGGGAGGCCCAGAACTATCCATTTCTTTATAAACTGGTTGCTCACAATTGTATGGACTAGGAGAACAAAACTTGCAGACCTGGCTCATTAGGTTTAATTGTTTTGGACTCTATTTTATAGCTTACTAGAGAGAAACAAATCCAGTTCTATTCAGGAGATTTAATTCACGTCTCATTAACTACCTTGGCAAAATCCAAAATTAGCCCTGAAAGCCTAATTGGATTAAAAAATTAATGGGCATTACTTCTCTAAGATTAATGACATTAATGTTAATGGAGGTAATGACATCTCCCTGTCAGATTATTGTGAAAATGAAGTAAGCTAGCTAGCATATTCTAGGTGATATGTAAACTGCAAGATGCTAAACAAATGTAGGTGATTATCACAAGTCTCTGTTCCTTGGTTATAGCCTCCAGATTCCACTTCTTGTTTCTTCCCCTACCCCTTCCTTAGAAGTATTACCTAATTACTTGGTTGAGGGAAATCCTTATACTTGACCTATCATTACCTTATTTTTTTAACTAGCAAACTGGTTCAATAAACATCTTTGGAAATATACTATGGGTGGCTAGTCATGAAGCTGTTATACTAATATACAAGGTGTTAAAACATGCGCACGCACACGTGCGCGCACACACACACACAAACACACTGCTACATTCCTAAGTGAGGCCACTCTGCACACATTTTGAAACACTTGACTGAAAACTAGTTAGATAGCACTTACTTAAGCTCTCACACATACAGGAACAAAAGGAGATACAGGAACATACAGGAGATAAAGGAGTATTTATAGAAAAGAGTTGGAGAGGTCTATTGGTACTTCAACCCCAGTAACACGAAGTGGGAGATCCTACCTCCTATGTCCAAGAGATAGGACCTGCACATGAAATACCAGGGTTTATACATGAACTATTGTATGGGTGTCTGATTACCTCTTGCAAATTTTAAAGGGTCAGAGTTAGAATACCAAAGAATGAGCACAGGTTGTAAAATGACTGTGTTGGGTATCTGGGGTCCCACAGTTTGTCAGTGGAAATAGGAGTCTTTCCTATGGACCCAAGGTGGGTCTTGCTACCAGAGTCTGGATAGTTGCCTGAGGTCCTTCCCAAGTAGCCCATCCAGAGCAGCATCCCATTAAGGGTAATAACGACCTTGATCATCAAGCATATTTAACCTCCACAGTGAAATATCATTTGTGTTTGTGCCTTTGAGGAAGGAAAGGAATTGCCTTCTCTATTCTTCAGCATGTAGATTGGTGCAGGCATCACCCTCGTGGGATTTGCAGTGTAGTGTGTTAAAGGCGCCCTTTGGACACATCTAACACTGTGCAAGAGGGAGCTATGCAAGTGCGAGTCACACAGCTGTGCATTCAGATTACGTCACTTTTTAAAAAATATTTATGCTTAAACCCACTTTGGTGTTCCATACGTCCTACATAGGAAGATAGTGTAGACGTTGAAAAATAAAAGGTTTTAGAAGTGGGCATGCTGTGAAAACATACATTTGCAGAGGCTTCAATCTACAACCTGAGAAACAAATGATATATCCCAACATTACATCAATAAACATAATTGGGGGGAGAAGAGCTATTGCCACATATAGGTTAAGCAGAAAAAGAAAAATGACAGGGACAACTGACAATTCTGTCCCAAGGTAACATTTTGACACATTTTTAAAAGATCTGTCACTATAAACCAGATTTATTACTTCTATCTTATGAAAACCAGGATGGAAACCACTATATTTCCCCAATTTAAAGATGGAGAATCTGAAAATAATCTTCAAAAAATTCAAGATCACACTCTATAGAAAGGGAGGTTAGTGCAAAAAATAAATCTTTAGAATTTGTGTCCTTTATTATTCTTTACATTTATTCTCATTGAAAAAAATAGCCATTGAATAAGTCTCCTCATATTTCCAATAGAATAACTTCCAAAGTTGCGCTGAATAAACCGTTAAGTGAAAAAAACCTTGGCCCACCGATAATTATAAATGCTCTCGTGTGTGTGTTCTCTGAGCCAGCAGTTTTGTTCGTATTCTGCATAAATTTTGTAGAAGCCCAGGTCCCTCCCAGGACTCAAGAATGTCAAAGGCTGTTTGAGTTCACACTGATTGCAAATGAAGCCAAAAGGGAGACTTATGGCTCACGTACAAGCATGGCAGGAGGGAAGCTGGTCTTGGGCACATCCAGAACCAGGAACTCAAATGCCACCAGGATGCTCCCTCCCCTACAGCTCAATGTGTTTGTGTTCCAGCTTCTTTCCCTCCAACTGGAGCTCAGCTGGTAGGGTGTATGTGCGAGTAGGGGGGAGACGTGGTGTGGGTGCCAGCCACGTTCTTAGGGCTTGGTGACTAGGAAGGAATAAGAAATTTGGCTTCTCTCATTTCCAGTTTTTAAACAGGGGGCAAATAGCCTGACTGCTACTTTCTGGGTCATTTGTTCACCTGTGTCTAGTCAGTGTGACAGAGAAGAGCTATTAAAAGGACATATTCTTGGCACACAGTCAGCCTCTTGGCTAGGGGGTGTCTCTTATGATAGTGGTAACAGAGATTCTGGGCAGACTATAATGAGAGCTGCTTCAGAATACAAGCAAACACTACACATCACTGGGACACTAACGCAGGAATGTCTAAAAGATATATTAGACAAAAACAAAAAAACACTAACCCATGAAGTCCAGGATAATCAATTTTTATAGGCAAATGATTGGCTCTGAGAGGAAGAGAGTACAAAATTCATTTAGGTAAATATTTCATTTGTTCTTTCATGAAGGACAGTATCTTTTCCTGGGTAAGATATAAAGGAAAGGAACAACTTGATTAAAAAAGCATTATATGCTGACTATTTACTCTTGACCATTCCACCAAACTCTGTTGTATTATTCCCATGTTTGGTCATACATGCCATTCCCAAATTAGAAAAAGGACAACCACACCAATCTATATCAACTTGGAATATTTATTGTATTTCTTAATGTCACCATAATAGCAAGGCACTCTTTAATCAACAATATAAAGTCATCTACTTAAGTTTGCCACTCAAGATTAGGAACACTGTTAGAATATAATTTCTTAAAGTAACACATTGGAATGATAAGCAAATAAATTTGCAAATAAAGCTACCATCAATAACACACATTTTTCCAAATCACTCTAACAGATATATATTACTCCATTGACCTCACAACTTCTAAGAGAGTCCTTTTTTATCAGTACCAGGAAAGGATGCTTTTGGCCATGCAGCATAACAGAAAAAGTGTTATATGCAGTGTACAATTCACAAAAATTCTCACTCTTCCATTTAATTCTGTACATAATGCAACAATGTAATTGTACCTGAAGAGGAGTTTCAATGACAACTGTCACCTAGAAACATACATAAATTCCTGTACTGACGGTCCCTGATTTATGGACAGCTCAATTTAGGATTTTTGAACTTTACAGTGGTGTGAAAATGACACATACTCAGTAAGCAAACATACTTTAAGTTTGTAATTTTGTTCTTTCCCCAGGCTAACGCCGTGGAGTACGAGCCCCTCTCACAAAACTGGCCAATGGCTGTGAGCTGCGGATACACAACCATACTGGTGTTCATTTTCAGCACAACATTCAGTAAATTGCAGGAGATATTTGCCACTTGATTGTAAAATAGGCTTTGTGTTAGATTATTTGCCCAACTGTCAGTTAACATAAGTGTTCTGAGCATGTTCAGGGTAGCCTAGACTAAGCGACAATGTTTGGCAGCTTAGGAGGATTCAATGAATTTCAACCTATGCTATTTTCAAGGTACCATGGGTTTATTGGGATGGAATACCAGTCAATAACTCCCTAAGTTAAGGAAGACCTGCACTTAGGGCCAGAGGAATGCTCTATTACATCACACTACAGCTACCTCTGTCCGGAGGGACAGCACCTGCTGTGGCTTCAGAGTGCTTAGGATTCTCTCCCATCAAACCCAGGATGCTTTTGAGGCAATCCCCCAGGCAACTGTTTGGGAATGGAGGTGCCACTGAAGAGAAGTTTCTTACAAAACCCAATTCACCATGCTTATTTTCTTTTTTTTTTTTTTTTTTTTTTTTAATAGAGGCATGTTTTATTTATTTATTTATTTGTTTGTTCATTTGTTTTTGTTTATACATGCACTGGGTACAGTCAGAAGCGCGGGAGGGTGAGAGAATTCACCAGAGCCAGAGCGGGGAGCAGAACAGGCAGAAGGACCGAAGTACACTGCTGAGGGGAGCAGCGGGTGGCAGGAGAGGTCTGCGCACCATGTGGGACCCTCCTCCGGTGGCCGGGGAGCAGCCGGGAATCGAACCGGCGCCGCAGAGGCTGCGGGCAGCTTCGCAACCCAGCGCTCTACCGCTGCGCCACCGGGGAGGCCCCACCATGCTTATTTTCTAACAATAGTTATTTTCTAACTACTCTTCAAATCCTGGATTTGCTTATGGCTATTTCCCCTACTTGGATAAAAGTGAATTAAAAATAAAACGTTAAAGGAGGTAGCCTGGCCAGAAGACAGAAACACTGTTCCACAGGAAGAGGGGTTTAATATTTAGGAACTTTTTTTGAGCAAAAATAAGTGGGCCTGAAAGGAATTTTTAAAAACAAAACAAAATTCTGCTGTCATTGGGACTACAGATTCATGACAAATTACCCCGCAGCAATTCTTGGCCTGAAAGGAGTTATTGTACAAGCAGCTCACTGGGCCTCAATGACTTAGAGAAAGACACTTAAGGATCCTTCTAGATACATTCACATACTTCACTGTTTTAAAATGAGTAAACAGATAGATGAGTCATATTTATTAGCTTTTTCATACAATAAACTTTATTCTTTGGCAAAGCACAGATGACTGGTTGGTTGGTTGGTTGGTTGGTTTATAAAGGCAACTTTTTGGTGGGATGTCAGCACCAAGAGACCTAACATCCTTTGGTCCCTCCCACGAACCAGTTATTTCTCTTCATTCAGAGGTACTCCTGTTCACCTTCTTGGGCATCTATTTAGTTACAAAAATCGTGGGAGGAGGAGATATGCTTTAGAGAAACAAGGTATAATCACAAAATCAAGACTCCAAAAGAAAAGTCAGAGGCATTAAGACAACATTTCTACTAGTCAAAATTCAAATATCTGTTATCTTTCAGAACTAGGGAAGTGTTGCCTCGCACATACTCTGGGTGGAGCTATTTTTCTCGCTCATTCTTTTTTTCACATGTCATGAATTAGTTATGAGCAAAAACACATCAATAAAACTTTTTCTAAGGGCCCATCTTGATACAAGATTATTTAGTACACATAGTACAGAAGGCAAAGATTAATACAACGTGAGCACCAATTGCAAAGACAGCCATCTTAGCTCTTTTAGAACAAATAAAATGATCATGTCTATTTTTTCTGTTTTTCATTAAAATGTCACAGCACCCTTGGGGAAAAAAAATATATGGCTACATGAAGCATAAGATGTGAGAAGAAAATTAGTTGAAATCTGCTTATTAAATATACAATTATGATTACTGATGCCCTTTCAATGAAATCCTATGTGGTTAAAAGGAGAAACAGCCTGGGGCAAATGTCTAGTCCACATTTCAACTTGCGATCTGCTGCATTGGTATGAGTTTTGGTGAAACCTGGGAAAAGAGAGAGAAAAAAAAAGTAACCAAATTATGAAAAGCCTCATGAATTCCCACACTTGAGTGATGTAGGCAACAAGCAGCCTTGCTCTGGACATTACCTGGAGCCTCATTTTCTATCACAGACATTTTTTTTTTTAAAAATGTTAAAAGAGGCATGTATTTTTATTTATTTATTTATTTGTTTGTTTGTTTGTTTGTTTGTTTGTTTGTTTGTTTATACATGCACTGGGTAGTCAGAAGCGCGGGAGGGTGAGAGAATTCACCAGAGCCAGAGCGGGGAGCAGAGCAGGCAGAAGGACCGAAGTACACTGCTGAGGGGAGCAGCGGGCGGCAGGAGAGGTCTGCGCACCATGTGGGACCCTCCTCCGGTGGCCAGGGAGCAGCTGGGGATCGAACTGGTGTCGCAGAGGCCGCGGGGAGCTTCGCAACCCAGCGCTCAACCGCTGCGCCACCGGGGAGGCCCTGAGATATTATTTTTTAATCACATTCTTTTTAATCACTGAGTGGGGGAACCCCTTTTCTATTTACATTTTGTATGTTGAGTAGTTCTCAACTACCTTGCATGAGAGCTTCTAAATTAAGGATTATTAAGACTGGCATCAGAGGACACAGATTAAGGATCCAAATAACCAAGCTCCTTACTGAATGGATCACCGAGCAACAGGATTGAAGCCTATGAGATTTCACTCAAAACAGAGACACAGTAGGGTACAAGATTCAAAAATCTCAGAAATAGACCCAGTCTATTTTGTTTGAGAGACACTGTATAGTCTTTGGATTAATAGCTATATATTAATAAAGTGAGGTATGATCAATGGCAAATCTTATCAGAAAGTTCAAAATCAGGGCCTCCCTGGTGGCGCAAGGGGTTAAGACACAACCTATGAAACTCTATGCAGCCACTGCAGCACCAGTTCGATCCCTGACCAGGGAGCAACCCACATGGCACAGCAGACTTCTCCTGACTTGTCCGCTGCTCCCCTCAGCAGTGTATTTCAGTCAATCTGTGAGTCCTGTTCCCCACTCTGTCTCTGGTGAATCCTCTCCCCCTACCCTACACCTCTGGCCTGTACCCCAGTTCTTATATATGCATAAATAAAGAAATCTTAAAAAAAAATTCAAAATCAGAATGAAAATGATAAAAGGTAGTAAGAAGATTCCAACCCACTGCAAAAAGAAGGTAGTAGCACTAAAAATATTAAATTTTGATTATAAGTATGTTCAATATACAACACAGCAAAAACATTCCTGGGAGTCTAGAAGTAGAGAAAAATGAGGACAGATCCTCACTTAATGGTAGAGCTGGTAGAAAAAGAAACCTAAATCTAAGTGGTTGAGGTTCATTTTTGACAGATCTTTCAAGCATGCTGCCAGATACATATTTCTGCACACAACTTAACAAATAAGTATCTTAGTAAATAACAATCCAGGGAGAGCACAGAGCAGGGAATATTAATTTTAATTAAAATTAATTTTTTTAAATTTTGGGTGATATTTTTGATTCCCTCAAGGATGTAGAAATTGAAATGGGCCTGACTAGTATCTTGCTTTCTAGAATAAAGTCAATATTTTGTGAAGTTAATGAACAAATAAACTAATGAGTGAGTGGGTAAGTTTTAAAGGACTAGAAGGTTTCTAATAGATGTAAGTCCGTATTAAAAATAGAAGGAATAGGAAATTACTTGGCTTTAATGAGGTTAAACATTTTTCATTCACTTATAAGTTGTTTCTGAATTAACCCTTCACGATGAACATTTTTCTACTATAGACTGATGTGACAAGAAAAATAAGATCAGTAAGGCCTGGTATATAGTTTAGAATAAATGAGGGTTTTCATCCAGACATGCTAGTTCCAAGAGCAGGTGTACAGTAATATACAAAAATGAGACATATAATTGATGTGACAGCCCACATTTGCATAGATGGCTTCAATTCTACAGAAAAGAGTGAAAGAGGTAAGGGCTCTGAGTATTTAGAAATTGTGTCTCACAAGCAACCTTTTTTTTTAAAAAAAAAAAAAACAGCCTCTGTGGAAATAATTTAGTGAAATAAAACTCTTCTTTTTTGAAAACAGATCATTTCCAATAGATGTTTGATAACATCTCCTTTAAAAAGAAACCAGACACCTGAATTTTTTAAACTAAACATCTGACCCTTTTCCTCATCACGTCAGCCCTATTTTGAGTTCTTAGTATCATTTATACCCTCAATGTGGAAAACTCACTTCTATCAGAAAAGAAGATGAAACTTTATGTACACAAACTTGGCCTATCTATTTTTGCAATGAAAAAGATCTACTAAAACACCATTTTTCACTCTGTACTCTCAGAGTCTCATCAACAATGTAAGTCCATGCAAGCCAAAACAGATTACACTGTCAAGGTGATCTACAGGTTAAGCTTGAGACTATGTGATTGAAGCGTAAAAGATAAACCAGTGATTTGTCATCTCTGACAACTGAAATCCCAAGAGCATACTGTTTAATTCTGTATGATGCCAATTCATAATAGATATTGAGAATATAAATGTATCAACTTCACGAAAAACATCTGCAGCTGGCTTTTTCAGATTCCACTGCCAACATTTAAATAAGCAATATTCTTATTCTAATTTTTTTGCCACTGGTAGTGTAGGTATGTTCCTGCCTGGGGAATAAGGCCAAAGCCCTTGGCAGTAGGAACCATACCAATCTGTTTCATCTTATTCACATTTCATAGCTCAGTACAGGACTCACACTAGGTGTTTAACAAATAATCATGAATGACTAATGACCTCTACAAATTTATCACACACAATGTTCAAACATGAATTAAATTTAAAATTTTTTAATTAAAAGCTAAAAACAGAAAGAAATACTGTTTCCCAAAAGGTCCACAGATATATATATATATATATATATATATATATATATATATATTAAGGAAAAAACTATTTTATGTAACTAAACTTGCAGTAGGAAAGAAATAACCAACTGAATTCACGAATTAGTGGAAAAAGATATTTGGGGACAAGGGAATTTAGCTGCTGGGATGTCACCTTTCTTTTCTCTTTATTTTGGCCCATCATGTAAATGGCAGGGACACACCCAGTGCTGGAAGTATAGTCAAAAATAAAGAAGTTTGACATTTTCATTGGCTTGTCACAGCTCTAATCTGAGGAAATGAGTAAAATCCCTTTGACTCTTTGAAAATGAATTATTATTCGATAAATATTTGGGAGACAGATTTTTCAAACTGTGAGGCCATGGCAGAAAAATAACCCAAAGTACCCTTAGTGATAAAGACGCTGGGAGGCAGCCACCCAAGAGCACCACAGAAGAGGCTCCCGCGAGCGCCGCCATCACGCCTGTGCAGCGCATGGGCGCGCGCACCCGCTGTTGCCCGCCCGCAGCGCCAGGGGGCGCGCCCTCTCCACCTTTTATGGGGAAGGACCCTTGAGGTACCCTGGCCCCTCAAGTCTCCCCGGGTGATTCAATTGAAAGATGATTTGGGCAGAGGAACTGGGGCACGTGAAATTCAACCCAACTTTCTTGTGGGGCTCGCCCTCCCCGCAGGCAGGGTGCTCCGACTCTTTTTGCTCTCAGCCTGCGCAAAGAGACCCAGCCCCAAAGGGGGGTTACCGTGCAGGAGGCCTGTGCTCCCCCGAGCTGCCAAAACTGGTTGCTGAGGTCTCTCTACTTCTGGGGTTCATATCCCGGAGCCCGTTGTGGCTGCTCACTTAAGCCCATCCTCTCTTGCCTTTATTATTACACTGCTGATGTTTTCACCTCTCCCTCCCCGGCTCCTTTGTCTCTCTCACTAGATCCGGAATTCAGTTCCTAAGAAACGTTAAGACCCCTTTCCTTGCAACTGTATATTGAAAGAGAGTGGACATGAGAAACAGGTCTCTGTGCATTATGGGCTGGCCCCTCTAGCTGTGAACTCTCCCTGACCCCAAACCTTATTTTGGAAATGTGCTCAAGGTCCAGAAATATAGTTTATATTTGCATTTCTATGACAAAATGTCCACAGCCTCCTTTGGAGCTCGGAACATAAATAACCCTTTAGAGACTTTACTATTCAGTTGAATGGGAAAGTTCTTTCTGCTGCCACAAAATCATGACTATAATTCATGACAATTTCTCTTGGTTATAAATCTTTTTCAAGTTTCAGGTGATGTTTAAAGGACACATTTTCCTCCCACATTTTTTTTTTTGTTGTTGTTGTTGCTAATTGTACTGGGCTATTTAGGAGAGTCTTAGCAATTAAAAATGCCCAAATATGTCATTAAAACCATTATTTCTGTTTCCGCTAAGAGAAAAAGCCAAAAAGAAGTTTAATAATACCATGTATACTGCCAGGATACATGGGAGAGACCCTCTAAGACTGAGCAGCTCCCCCAAGTAGCTTCAACTGCCATCCAAAACCACCTCAGCTAAGAAAACGAACACGGGGATGGGTCAGGAGAAAGGAAAGGTCGTTCATGGCAGGTGTCCAGAGATGACCCGGAAAACAAAGGTATGCTGTTATGCCTTCCTCCTCAAAAACAGTTGAAGAAATTAAATAGGTCTTCCCAAAACAATGAAGGAGACACCCTTAAAAAGAAAGTTTTCCTTCTGTGGAGGTGATGACTTTTGCAAAATAACCATTTTTTTTAAATATCCTGAAACCACAATTTTGCCATATTCTGCTACCTGATGCTATCACGGTTTAATCTTTTTCTTTGAAATTTCCAGTATTTTTTCAATCAGCTTATATCCATAGTTTGCCCATTCATTTGACCACAAGCTCAGGCATATTGGACTTTCACCAAGACATTTTCACAATTACCGTGACCTAGCACTTTACTTTTTTTCTTTATTATGAAGAACCCAGTTATATTAACAGGTTCCCTTCTAGAATGTCCATTGCCAATTATATGCTGAAGATTGGGTCACTTTTCTCAAATTGAAATCTTGAGTAACGGGCCTCCCCGGTGGCGCAGCGGTTGAGCGCTGGGTTGCGAAGCTGCCCGCGGCCTCTGCGGCGCCGGTTCGATCCCTGGCTGCTCCCGGCCACCGGAGGAGGGTCCCACATGGCGCGCAGACCCCTCCTGCCGCCCGCTGCTCCCCTCAGCAGTGTACTTCGGTCCTTCTGCCTGCTCTGCTCCCCGCTCTGGCTCTGGTGAATTCTCTCACCCTCCCGCGCTTCTGACTGTACCCAGTGCATGTATAAACAAAACAAACAAACAAACCAGCAAACAAATAAATAAAGCATGCCTCTATAAAAAAAAAAAAAAAAAAAAAAAAAAAATCTTGAGTAACTAGTAGATAGTTCCATAGATTAAAATGCTAGACAGTATTAATATTATACAGTAATAATCACATGGGATGTCTTCTGAATTATGAAATGAGATACAGTCCTGAAGGCAAATACATTTTAAAACATATCTCATTGATAACCCAGTTATTAAACAGAACATTTTATTAATCAGAGCACTCTAGTCCCTGACCTTACAGAGAAACAAACTGCTCTATGTAATTTCATCCACCAGGGTGTAAGGAGATGCCCTTGAACATCAGCTCCTCAAAAGCTAGTTCTTTTGTCATGATGGTTCAACTGATATTATTTATGCCTTTTCATTTTCAGGACGACATTGACATACAAATTAACATTTCATCTCAACAGCCTAATTTGAAGGAAATAAAATTACATGTCAATGTCAGAAAAAGAGGAGGAGATAACTACAATAAAAGAGGGACCATAGAGATATTTTTCAATGTATTAAGGTATGGAAACTAGCACTTTAAAAAAAATGCACCTTTTTCATTCCTGATTACCTACATGAAAAGAAAGCAAATAGATAGTGAGGAATTCTTCCTTTGCATTCTCATTTGCAGCAGAGAACTGAATATTCTGAGGATCTCAGAAATGCTACCGCATGAAGAAGTGTTTAACTCACCCACACAGGGGAAATATACAAAAAAGAGTTGACTACATAAGAAGAATTGTTTACTTTTATCACTGCAGTGAGAAATTCTAAATAGTTAAAGTATAAACAAATCCTACTTTTTTCCTCTGAGGTTATTGAAAAGCTAATTAAAGATGTCCTTTTCTCACAAAGTATTGCTGGCAAACTTCATTTTTCCAAAAGGGAATTCAAGAAAGGTTAATAGACAAAGACCTTCATACAGTAAGAAACAGTTACATGTGGACAATAAATTATGCAAGCAAATTATTTTTACTGAAACTTGCTCTGCATTGATTGGTCCCTGCTAAGTATGTAGAATCTAAGGAAAAAATGTATGAAATATATGCGTGATTTATCAAACTTGTTTTATGAAATTACTTTCTCCAGAATGGATAGCTACAAGATTTCTTCTCATTTAAAATGATTCCTCTTCTTATTTTATTTTAACTAGTAGATCTGTTCTTAAAAAGTTACATATGAATCAATTCTTTATGTCTTCAGAGACATTTATCTTTACTTTTGATTCACTTCAAATGGAATGAGCCATCTTCTTAACACCCATTATGTAGTTTACTGATGATTTATTAAAGGGCAGTTATTTATATTACAGTATTAGCCTTTTTGTTTTAAAGAACTAAAAGGATTTGGGGATTTCTTAAATGGACACTCCTGTGATGTACTTATTTGCTTTGTGAATCTGAATTTCTATGCACTAAGTTTTTCTTTCGCTGCAGAATACATCTATTTTTGAGACTATAAATCTGGTAGAGTCAGAAAGCCAACATTCTACTATCTTCAATGGATGAAATAACCAGGGGCAGAAGTTAATCCAAGAGAAATTCTTAAGTCATATTCATAAGATGGGTTTAAAAGAAGTATTATTTCTCCAGGGTAGCACATTGCCTAGTAAATCAAGCTGAAACACAGCTGATAGGTAAGAGAGGACTGCAAGGTAAAGAGAGGATGGCAAGGGACTTCATAGAGAGTTAACTTAGAGTTCATGTTCAACCCTGTTTCCAGCAGCTCCTAGTGGTTCCTCCAGCTCCTGCTTCTGACTCTGGAGCCAAACACTGGCCTGTGAGTCACAGCCCTGCTCCTGCTCCCCCACCTGCTCTCATCTGGGGGCACCCTCCCTTTCACTCCTGTTCTCGGCAAAGGTCAACTCCAAAAATGATCACAAATTAATGGTTCATGTCCTGTAAACACCCATTAATCAAGCCCCTGATATAGGACAAGTGGCTGGATTTGTTCACAGAAACACTTACAGCAAAATCACACCCCGTGCTCTTCTTTATGTCATCCACCGTCAGACCCTCCCAGAGTTCAATCAGCGTCAGCCCCTTCTTGTTGTCCACGTCAAACACAGCCTGTTGGAGTGAAAAAAATAACAATGACAATTTCTATCACAGTAATTATTTTATAACACAAAACAGAAATAACCTATCAAGTTCTTAAAAGAGAGACAGGACCCAGGACAAAAGATTCTGAAAATCAGCACTGAAAAAATGTCAAGTGTAACTCTTATGTTTGGGTGAGAATAAATGCCAACCCCCTAACCAGCCAATGGACGTAGAGCACCGCTGAGTGCAGAAAAGAAACATGTCACCTGCTGATGGCACTTGCTACTAGAGTAATCAGTTTGTTTAACTACTTTCGTTAAGTCTAACACTTTTTGCAAAAGGTCACTTAGTTAATAATGATTTGAAGACAGGAAGAAAGGAAGAAAAGGAGGAGATATCTGGAAGGTAAAAGGACAGAGATGATGGAAGGAAAAGCTGATCAATGCTGCTGGATAAAGAATTACAGGAACCCAAAGAAGGAGCTCTGAAGTCACTGCAGGTCATTGCAAAAGGCTACCTGTCCTGGCCGGGAAAGACCCCCAGGTGCAAACTTTCTCTTTAAGTCTTACAAAAATAAACAGGTCCACAAAGAGAGCATGAGACTGTCCCTCCCATACACACATCAAATGAAGTTGCCTGTGCTCAGGACAAAGGTGAGCCAGCTACCTCAGCCTACACAGTCCATCACGACACTGCTGGTAGCACCAGCTGATGGCCATGCCCACAGGGATAGCTTGACCTGATCAGGTGGCCACAACCTGCAGTATCGGACTTAGAACATGAAACTTCACACTGACAAATTAGACAACTTGAGTGGAAAGTGCCAACAAAGTAACTTAATATGATTTCCAACCCAAGGATTCTTCAAAACATTCTTAGATAGTCACTGGGATTCTGCTCAGAAACTTCATGGGAGAAGGTTACTTACCTTAAGGCAGATTGTCTACTGATGTGAAGCTGCAATCCTAAGAGCCCAAATTGCTTCCCTCTGGCCTGCCCCCGTTGGTGTTATAGGTTGTCCCCCTAGGATGCGATGCATGCACTGTTCCTCCTCTGGGTTTACATGGTTAGTTTCTTCTTTCTCAAGCTTAAATGTTTCCCAAATCTCTCTTGACCACTGGACTGACCTTAAATTAATTACTACTTACCAGATCAAAGTACTTTTAACTACCTTGGAAGTCAAACCCTATATTGTCATCTTTAAACACGCTTCCATAACAACATGTATTGGAAAGAACCTTGGCTTCCAAGTGGGAAAGGAATTCCAGCTTCGCCCCACACTGGCCAAGCAAACTCTAGTGAACGTGTCTTTTCACAAAAACTTACTTTCCAAGATTGTTAAACAGGACAAATATATTAACACACACACTTAGAGCACCCAGTAGCAGGCCTGGGACACAGCAGGGACCCCAAACAGCTGTGCTCTTTCTCCTTAATGACTTAAGTTACTGTCACACATATGTGAATCCAAAGCAAACCCCTGAAATGTTTTTTTGTGTATAGCAGATCAATATTTTTCCTCAAGAACCAGTTGTCAAAGAGACTCATGATACTTGCATTCTGTTTAATGAAATCACAGATATCCCAGTTGGTTTTACTAGGAAAGATAGAAATTTAGGAGGCAATATATTAGCAAAGTTTCATTTTATTTACACATTTTTATGTTCCTAAATTTTTTTTGGCAGAAATATGTGTTTTGAGAAGGGAAAAATCATTATCAGAATGTCTGCATGTTGTGTTAGTATTTTTAAATTCCAAAATGGAAATTGAAAAAATCTTAGTGATTACTTTTCCTTTACAGGAAATTATCTGGAACAGATTCATACTGATGTTTCCCATGTATTATGAACAACTGCAAACAAATAGAAAGAGTCTCTTAGTCACGTTATTAAGAGCAGGCAGAGAAGGGATTTGGGGAAAAGAGAACTGTGGTATTATGAACATAAGACTGTGGTGATCAGAGAAGTAAAACCTTGGCAAATTCACTTATTGCTTTTTTTAAAAAACCTTTTATTAACACCTTTATCAAACTCTAGTAAACTCTCAAGGTCATACATCAAAAGTCAAGTATGTTATTAAAAGGATGAAAATTAATCTTAAATATACAGGAAGATTTCCATTTAGTGCTATAAAATACACACAAAGGCTTGATAAAAATGGAAAGTAAAACTTAAAAGCTACAATAAATTGTTTAAATACCAAGAATAACAACTACTTTGTTTTAGAGATGAGTAAGTTATTTTACTGTAACCATAAACAGTTACATTATAGCTAAAGCAGTTTATCACGCCCAGGAGCTGTGTGTGCTCAGGACAAAGGTGAGACGCTAGGCAGTTTGTCAACTGATGTGAACACAGGACTAGGAAGTCAGGGTGATGTTTCTAAAGCCTCTTTCAAATGAGAACTAGTGGGATTTCACCTGAGAACTGAAAAAGGAATTCTAGTCCAGCGTCAACTATGCCAGGGTTGTCTACATTGGTTGCCCTTTAAACCACTGCAATTTTATTCATTCATTCAACAGGTGTTCATTGAACAGTTATTATATACTGAGCACAGGGATAAATATGCACCACTCCTTTTCTTGAGGCTCCCAAAGTTCCATATTAAGCTTCCTCCCTATCATTTTACTCAATTTTGCTACACAATGTCATCTTCAGCTAAGTTCCAATTATGCCCATATGCTAATAACTTCTACAAGTATGTTCCAATATTGGATTCTTTTCTGAAATCCAGATTCATATCTCCATTTATTTATTGGAAGTCTCCAGCTGGATGGTCAGGATGCTAACTTAAGAGTCTCATACCAGTATGTCCAAACTGAATCTATTCTTTTCCTCCTCTCAATGCTCCTTATGTGTCTGCTGTAAGCCCCAGGCTTCACTAAGATTACAGCAAGGTGACCTTCCCTGCGAGTCAGAAAACTCAGGACTCACCTCTGCCTTCGCAACCATGACTGATGCTTCACTTAGCTTGGTCCCGTCTCCTAAATCTTTCTCAAGTCTTCCTGTCCTGTGGTTTTGAACCCTGGCATTTCTTCCTAGATGACTGAAGGGGCTTCTAGCTCACTGTCTCACCTCTTCTCCCCCTACCCTAGTGCTTTTTTACAATGTAAATATAACTAAGTGTGTTCCCAGCTACTTCAAATCATTGCAGGGCTCCATACAGCCCTTCAGATAAAATCCAAGATTTTTAATAAGGTATTCACCCTCCATAACTTAGCCTATCAATGTCTTTTCAACCTTAGCCTTGAGGTTGTACCCTCACTCCGCACGGTTCCACCTACAAGTCTCCGAGTAGACTGAGTATCCTGTCTTTTCATCCATTCATTCTTTACAAATCACATTTGTGGAATTCCACTTAAACAGTTCCAGGGGATGGCACCATTTAGGACAGAATGCTCCTTAAAGGTCCTTGATGAGTTCGTGAATGTCCTAAAATGACTGTCATGGCTCCTGGCAAAAGGCACAAGATCCTTAAGAGAAAAAATCCCAACCCGCCAACCTTAATAGAGATAATTCTGTTTTGTGATATCGGTATTCATCAAAATACTGAATCAAGTAAATAATACCACCCTAGCTCACCTATGAGAATCATGTCATTCCACATTCTAGGTTGAAATCTGTCTGAAAGGTGACAGTAACTTCCAGAAATACTGATCTGAAGTTCTACCAATACCCAACATTTTCCATCTAAGGAGAAATCTAGAGAAGCACTAAAATGGCCGGAGTGTTCTGAAATCCACTTTATAAAGAGGGAGGAAAGCCTAGAAGACCAGAGACTAGATCTCTTGGTTCACTGTGGAACCTACACTGTAATTTGCACCCACCTGGTTAAAACCCAATTTTGACTGAGGTCCCTAAAAAAAAAAACCCAACAATATGTGTTTATGATTTGAGAAAGCAAAGAACAAAGTTAGGAATGATAAATATATTCTTAACTGTGTATCTATCATCCAGCTTAGACAACTTAATAACCCAAACATGAGGATCCATAAAACTTTTGATTACATCACACTTGTCAAAGCTATCAAGGGCAGCAGTTCAATTCTGTGTGTTTAGGTATATTTCCAAATAGGTGCACATCAAGAATCCTACATTTAGAAACATTAAATTGATGAATTTTCCTATTCAGTATACCCATGGATTTAATTAATTCCAGGACTACCGACATAATACACTTTCAGAAAATAACAAGAAATTCCAAAAATTCATATACGTGCATACGTACATACATATATACATACACACATACACACACACACACACACACACACACACACACACATATAAAAGGTGGTGGAAGATATTAGCGGACATGAGAGAGAGGCACTTTACCTTTTCAGTGATGATGCGGTCAACACACTGCTTTCCAGTCAGTGGTAAGGTACATTTTTCCATGATTTTATGAGCATTTCCCTATTTTAAAGAAAAAACATCAATTTGTATTTAGAATTGGTAGAACTACAGGACAAACAGGAACGAACAGAGAAAATATCTCCCGAGTACAGACTGTTTCAAAATCTTTGCACAGTTATGTTTTCACTTTCTTTTTGGAAGCAGTTTCCGCCCCTAAAATGATTTGGGGAGCCTGCCAAATGAATAGTCAAAGGCACAGATGAGTTAGTTGGGGTACACAAAACGACCTCTCAAGCCTCAAACCTGATCTTGTGTGATAGGAAATTTCACTTCAGTATCCTGCTTATTTTCTCTTCCAGAAAACAGTTCCTTGGACAAACACTGAGCTATCATTTCCCACGACAGGAAGCATATACTGAACACATAAGCATAATATCCCCTTTCCACAAAAATCAATTTCATCTCTTAAAAAACGAATACATACACAGAAAACAGCAGTGTCTCCTCGCCCTGCCTCACTCTGAGGCATAATCAACAGGAATAACAGGAATCATAACATAAACAACAGGAATCAACATCAATTGCCTCTGTAGCGTTTTCTTTTATACATCTAAACATTTCCTCTTAGCTCTCCATTTTTAAATATGATGTTTATCATACTATTTCTTAATTACTCAGTCCTAGAAAGTATAGGCTAATTTCTTATTGTGCCTGTGAAGACAGCTCTCTGACAAAGCCACGCCCTCCTCCTCGGCCCTCAGCCCTCCTCTGCGGCCCTCGGAGCTCCAGGTAGCCTGTGGGCTGGACACATGGAACTTCAGTCACCCCACAACGGGCTGGGCCGTGGAGGAGGCTCGCCGCCAGGCCAGGCAGTGTACTACACCCATGCAACCTTCACTTGCTTATGCAGTTATTTGCTTTTCCTGGAATTTGTCTGCGCCTCAGTTTGCTCATTAGTAAAATGTATGAGCTGATCTAAATCCATATTTTTTCAGTTTCCTTTTAGTCACAGACTTTTCTTTAAACACAAACATAAAATGAAAAATCTATTTTTAGTAGAAAGCAAAAAAAAAAAAGCAGATTTTGCCCACTAATTCCCTTCCCTAAGCTCCTCTATCACCCCCATCCCCACACCCTTATAAAAGTGGTCTCTGAGTATATCTATGAAACAGGTTGAAACACTGGCCTGATGACCTGATATTCAGATCTTTTTCTTTGGATTATCATTTTTTTTCTAAGTATCAACCACCAGGAGCCTAAAGGACTGTCTCCCTGAAGGCTAACCTATCATACTCTAAATGTGCTGCTAAAAATGGTGGAAACACTCCTATTACTTCCTTTTGCATTTGAATGACACCATGATATAGTTAGCTATCTCAATGCTTTACCTACTAAGATACACATCTGATATCTAGCTTATCTCTCTCTTTCTCAAAAGCATATGGTCAAAGGCAGGGAACTTCAGGTAATCGGATTTAATTGAGAAGATTTTACTCCCTGTCAACTCACAGATGCACCAGTAATTAAAAAGCTTTAGTGTATTTATCCCAGTGCATGATACAAAAAGTGTTCATTATTTTTTTTGAATGAATGAATGGGAAGAAAAATCTTGGATGGATTCCCAAAGAAAAACAAATTCTATACCTTCAATTTCTTTAAAGTGGTGCTAGCTATATATAAAGTGGATAGACATTAGGCCTTTAATAACCAGTTACATGTTTCTGGATCTTTACTGTATAAGAAAATTTATATCTCTAGGAAGAATACCTTTAATTTTAATGATCTATTTTCCATTCCAGATTTCAAAGAAAATTTGTGTGTGTCACCAAAACTTAGAGCTGAAGTTAATGATGAAAAGACAAACTTTTACAGGTGTCAGGTTTCCTTGCATTTAATATAACTCAGATAAGACATGTCACAATGAATTCCAAACAAAGTGAACACTCTGTGGGCCTCTGCAGAACATTTTCTGCAGGGATCTCTTACTTGGCTTTCATTTTTAAGTAAGAGCTTTACCTAGTGTCAAAGCAGCTACATGGATTTTTAACGAACAACTTCATTTTAGGAATCATGAATTTCAACTGACAGAATTAGCTGTGCCCTACCAGTAGAGATCTTTTATAAACCACTTCCATACAGTGGTTTCAGAGCATGGGCTGGAGCCCAGGGACCTGGCTGTGAAGCCTGGCTCTGCCTCACGCTAGCTGTGCAAGATTCCTGTGCCTGAGTCTGCACATCCACCTGCCCTGCCAAGCTTTGTGTAAGGCTTCAATGAAATACAAGCATCTAGTGTTTAGCAAGAGCTAGTAAATGTTAGTGAGCAGTGTTTATACAAACTGTATGTAACTTTTCTACAATCTGCCAGGAATTCTTTAGGTGCTCACATGTTCCAAGTGAATATATAAGTACACAAAATGGTCTAAACACAAGTCCTGAGACCCACCGAACTAATAACACAACACACATTTGGGGGGCAAATCATTTGGCTGGCCTGGGAACTGGCACCAAGTGTGCCCTTGCAGTGAGAACAATGTAGCTAGAGGACTCCATTCACATTTAGCTACATAACACAGACCAAGAAAAATGAAAAATGAGATGCAGAAAGATTAAAGAATGTCACAATCTCAATACTCAACAATAGGTTCACTGTGAAGCCAAAATATGACTAACTCCCACTTTAGTGCTCTGTTCTAACCATGCCTGGCTGAATCTTACAATGTGGTGTGGCAGCTGCATAGATTAATGATTCACAAAGGGGAAGCAATTGCTGAGGTTTTTGCATTTAAAAATAAATCCACATAAAGAAATGCAGTAGTTTGGTAGCAAGGAATACTCCCCCCCATTAAGAGTCCAAAGACTTAGTTTTCATTTTAATTCTGTCATTTAATAGTTGTTTGTCCCTTGAATTCTTTGTGCTGAAGTTTTTTCTTTTGAGTCCACTGTCTTGATTCCCCTTACTTAATCACAGTAGGAATCAAATGAAATGTTTTGGAAGTACAATAAACCTGGAGGGGTTGAATCTACATGCAAACATCGAGGGCTAGTGGGGTCTTGTTCATTCTTATCATTCGACTTCTTTCTTTTAAGAAATGTCAGGAAAGGCAGAGAAATAGATAGAATAGTTGTAAAAATGCTTTGCTCTGACTCATCTCCAGGGCTCCTAATTTCAGTATACCAATATTTGCTAATTTCATCATAACCCTGGTGAATACTTCAATCTCTCCTGCACCTTCTCCCTTCATTTTCCTCTTTTTCTGCCTTCATTCCTACAGGCCTCATCAGTTTCTTCGTTGAAGGAATAGAAACTCATCATTTTCTTAACTGACTTAGGGGCTTAGTACTTTGCTTCACTTGCTCCATGGTGATCACCCTTTAATTGTTTAGATATCTGTGTGAAACCCTGGTTCTACCTAAATCTTTTAATAACAAACAACTCTGTTTAAATAAATCTTGTCATCTGTGGGTTCCAATGAGCTGCCTACTAGCTGGCCACTCATGGGCAACTGTGACCTAGTTGCTATCTATAAATTACAGTAGAGCATTCCTTGACTACCTACAGAGTATAGCCCGTATCACGAGGCAAGCCCGGGGATGCCCAGGCCACTGTTGACCTGATTACATGACTATCTCCATAGTGGTCTTGGCATAACTCTGCCTGTGATAACATCAAGCCAGAAATGGCTCCTGATGTATGGTCATGATGTCCCCGTCTCTGTTTCTTGCAAAACTCTGTCCTCCATCCCAATCCCACCCTCCAGATTTTATTCCTCATGCCACTGTCACATGATCAGCCTTTACTAGCCTGTGTGCTTTCAATAAATGGCACAAGAGCTTCTGCTCAAGTAGCAGAATCTTGCCTTGCAAACTTGCTCCACGGCTGCTGTGTCCCTCATCATGTTCCCACCGCAAGGAGGCAACAAAGTTCCTGTCACAACAGTCATCATTACAACAACCTTCACGTTATCACATTAAACTTACAAATAGCAAGCTCCCATTTCTAAAATAGGGCAATTTTTGCTGGCAATGTTTTATTCACCTCAGGTAATGTAAGATCTTGCTTTACCAAAAACCCCACTTAATTTGAAAAAAGCAACCTGAATGCATTGTTGGTAGGAATGTAAGTTGGTGAAGTCATTATGGAAAGTAGTCTGGACTTATCTTAAAAAAAGAAAAATGGATATACTCTATGACCCAGCTTTCGAGTATCTATCCAAAGAACATAATATCAACCCCCAAAATTAAATGTTCCACAACACTTACTGTGGCATTAGTAACAAAAGCTGAGATGTGGAAGCAACCTAAGTGGCCGCTGATGGAGGACAGGACAAAGAAGCTGTTAAGACACACACACACACACACACACACACACACACACACACAATGGAGTACTATTTAGTTATAAGGAAAGATGAAATATTATCATTTACAGCAAAATGGAAGAAAGTTGAGGGAGATTATCCAAAACTAAGCAAGCCAGAAAAAATAAAGATGAATAGTGGTTGATTTTACATATGAGTAATAAAAGGGAAAAAAGTAGATTAATTGATAATGCAAAATAATTATAAACTAGCAGACATTAATAACTGAATTGAAGTTTCTGAAGTTAAGAGGGAGGGGGAAAGGAAAGGGGCTGAGGGGAAAAAAGGGGTGGAGACCCCAGTTTACACTCATCTTTTCTGTCAAATGATGCTTAAATATAGCTGCGATATTTCTTATTTTAGGCACCTGCGCTGGAGAAGGCTATTGATCAATACAGAGAAGGCAAATTCTAAGAGGTCGTTGCTTCTTCTTCTTTTATTTTTTTAATAGAGGAATGTTTTATTTATTTATTTGTTTGTTTGTTTGTTTGTTTTGTTTATACAAGCACTGGGTACAGTCAGAAGCGCGGGAGGGTGAGAGAATTCACCAGAGCCAGAGCGGGGAGCAGAGCAGGCAGAAGGACCGAAGTACACTGCTGAGGGGAGCAGCGGGCGGCAGGAGAGGTCTGCGCGCCATGTGGGACCCTCCTCCGGTGGCCGGGGAGCAGCCGGGGATCGAACCGGTGCTGCAGAGGCCGCGGG